CTGCAACAGCTGCATGTAGGGATGCTATGTTGAGTGGCCGGCGTGCATGTCCACCAGGAGGTTGCGCCAAAGAAGATGAAAGTGGGGCAACATGTCTTTCTTGCACAATAGTAGAAGTGGGACGCAGCCCAGAACCACAAGCAACTATTGCAGAATCTATAGGCAATGCTGCTAGGCTAGCATTCGTCAGATGGCTCATGTCTGCTGCTGTACTACCTGTGGATGGTGGTGCATTCCCCCTAGGTGGTAGTGCAGGCCAGCAGCTTGATTGAGGAGCCCTCATCATTGTTGGTGCAGGCTCTCTGGTTAGTGTTGCAGGTCCGAACAGTTGTTGTGGAGCCCCCCTCAGTATTTGCCCAGGCCCACTGCTTAGTGTCGGAATTCCCAACAGTTGTGGTGCAGGCCCCCCGGGTTGTGGGCAGACCCCCTACTTTGAGGGACATATCCCGACGATGCTGTGCAGTGCACGAGCTTGGCACTGCATACCCGTTGTGCAATGGCGCACCCCCAACTGCTGCACACACACCCTGTCCCATAGAGTTTGTAGTTAGTGATGCTACATTTTTTGGCTGTGGGGCAGAAGTAGTTTGACGCTGCCTAGCACTAGCAGGGGCTTGCGCAGCAGGTGGCAGTGTGTTGCCACTACTCGCCGAAGCATTTCTCATTGGTGGCACATGACTACCAGCTGATGGCGGAGGACCACCAGTGGGCCCACTAGGAGGTGCTGCTATTTTATTCTTCCTTGACATGATGAGATTCTTTATTTCGTGACGTGCTCCACGCACATACATCTTTATAATATCCGTCACAGCATCTGACACACTAGCAACCCTAGCAAGACTACCAAAATCCATCATCAAATTTGCATGCCAGAGTTCTTTCTTCGATTGTGCCAGCATCTTGTCAGGCCGATCCTCAATAGCAGGGGGTGCATAGGGGATTGCCATAGTTGTCCATCTTCTAATGATGTACTGCGCTGGGATTTCATCGACCCCAAGATGGTTGAAAACCTTCAATATATGGCAGCAAAGCATACCGTCCCTATTAAACTTGCAAGACTTACATCTGTAGTCTCCAGCACTAGTTTCAACAGTCACAAAATAGCTCCTAGAACCATATTTAGCAACCCATTCTTGATTGGGGTGAAGCTCATACAAGTGTTCACCATGGGGCCGCATGTTGTACCTCGTAGTCAATAGAAACTCGTCGCGGAACTTCTCATATAACTCTCTAGTGTATGAATTGTAGGCTTGCTTTTCAATGGGGTAAGATGACCACATTTCACTCTGCAAATGTCCCGTCCTGTAATCTTTCGCATCCTCTCGAACTAGTATGTGTGTTTGGATTTTCTGATATTGCTTCACGAAGTTCAAGATGGACTTGTGTGGGTTCAGCTAATGCTAAGGACAGCGTTGAACCCCTCGCTGCGTTGAGTTGACTGCAAGAAGGGGAAGAATTGGTGCTTGAAATAACAAGTAACCCATGTTTCTCGGTACTTGTATAGAGTCTCAAAGTGGGAGTTAGTCATAGCCTCATACTTCAATAGCAGCTCAGTCCATCCTGCCTCAAACTCCTCTGGTGTCAAGCTAAAGTCAACACATTTGTTGAAATCTTGTGACCAACAAGGGATTCGCCCCAACAATGATCCCAACTTCTCTTGTTTCTTCATAATATGCCAACGACAACAACGGTGCACACTCGTAGGGAATACCCTTTTAATGGATTGTGCAATTGCGATGTCTTGGTCAGTTATGATGTTGGTTGGTGCTACTCCATGCATTGCTTCAAGAAAGGTCTAGAATAGCCAATCGAAACTAGATGCCAAATCTTGCCTAACAAAACCACAGCCCAACATAAATGACTGCCCATGTCGATTAATTCCAATAAATGGCGCAAAGGGCATGTTGTACATGTTAGTCATGTATGTTGTGTCAAAGGAGATGTAATCATGACAAGCTCCCACGTATGCCTTCCTTACCGCACCATCGACCCAGAAAATATTCTCCACTATGTCTTCTTCAACATACTTTATCTTGTAAAAAAAATCTGGATCCTCTTTTTGCTGATCTTTGAAGTATGCAACTGTCTCTATCATATTGCCTTCTCTTGTAGCATCCTTGTTCAAGACCGTCTTGAGGTTCGTAATGTGCTTAGTTCCATAAGGCACAATTAGCTCTGTCCCATAGAAGTCAGACATGATGTGCATCATACGCCCTGCAGTCAATTCAGAATGGTGTTTAATCCTTGTTACCCAAGAACAGTACCAAAAAAACAGTTTTATTTCTTTCAGAAGGCAACTCAAATGGAGAGTTTAGGCAATTCATCCTCCTGTACAAGCAACTAACACATAAACACACAGGCAATTCAGGAGTGTGTAAAAAAATACCAGAATAAGTTGCATAAAACCAACCAAGGAAGTACTAATATGCATTTGAGCAAAAGGCGGATAGGCAGGTAGTAAATATACATTGAGTAACAAACAGATGAATACTAGGCAAGTCCATGTACCACATTTCATAACAAAGACAAGACAACAGAGGCACTACCTTTGCTTGTTTTTTGAACAAAGCAGCAACTACTACTTAAAAATAAGGCAAGTTTAGGGGGGGCCAGACTTTTTTTCGTCATACCAAGCATGTTTGTGTACTTAGTCTGGCAAATCACACACATGTTGCAAGCAAGGTAGATACAATACTTAGGAAAGTCTAGGTTGTTAAAGTTGGAGGGGAGGGGGAAATATGGTTATAGACCTATTGTCAAATTGCAGTTATGAAGGTGGGTAAGGAAGGCCCTTTCTTCTGCTGGGATCCCTTGGTGTGATCTCAAGTACTTAGTCAAACATGGTTTGTCAACTAATGGATGGTTGTGCTCGCCAACAAAATATATCACTTCCCATCTGCCATCTATCAGTTTGATAACCATCTTAGCTTTGCAACCAGTTGGTAATATTTTATCTCTCTTTCGTTTCTTGCTCCTCTTTTTTGTTTTACTATCATCATCAACAAAGACAATATCCTCGTCTTCATCATCATCTTTTGTTTGCTCAACAATATCATCTACCACAAGAATCTTTTCCGCCCCTCCGTCATCGGCTTGAGGCTTCCGAAACTTGTTGCAAACAAACTGTTGTTTTATCAACACTCCAGTTTTCACGACCTTCCTTGAAGTATTCATTTTGATTAAAAAAGCAATCTGCAAGGCATATGCATTTTAGTGCTCTTTGGCGCCTTCCAAACTGTCAAATCTCATGCCCACATAAGGCTCCTTGGGTTGTGACCAAGCTTCATCATCATTTTCAGCACCGAAGGCTGTCAAACCATTACCAACAGTCACACTTGTATCACCCGTGGCACCCGTGCCATCAAGGGTATGACCATCAGTCTCAGTTTCTTGTGCTGCAGGTGCTTGCTCATCTGTCTCCACTATTTTCGCCGTAGCAACAATGGCATTTTGCATTATAGGAGCATTAGGCGATTCAGCCACAAACTCATGATTTTGAGCACCCTGTTGTGTAGAGTACACTGGATCACCAATATCCATACCATCAAAAATATTTACATCTGGTTCCTCATTTAGGCCAATCATCTTTCCAGCCTGTGCACTTTTAAACCAGAAAACCAAAGCTACTTAGCTTGATGAGACAAGCAAGTAAGAAAGTAAATTCAGGCAATGCCACCAGAATGATAAGATATCATCCTTTTTGTTGTAAGAAACTCTTGAACATACAACATAGGATTTTGTTTTTTTGCTTGTATCATAATTTTTTACTTTCTTTTATCATTTTAAAATGCAGGCAACTCCTACATCTACATGGTTTTCAAGGATTTCATGGGGGAAGCAAGCTAGATGCCAAAAAATAGCAGTTATTCGGAGTGTTTTCAGCATGGATTTCACACTAAAAAAATAGAGAGAGCAACGTCATGTTTTGTGTTAGAAAAAACATAAGAATAACAATAGTCATGGGCAACATATATTTGTCCTTTTATGTTCAGCACTTTTGTTTTCTCCTATAGTTTGTACTAGCAGCAACTTTGGTTATCACTATCTTCGTGTGGTCGGTTTTCAAGTAATCTGTTTGTCCAGGTCATGAGTTTTCTTTTTTTGTCCTGCAAGGTGATGCGTCCATTTTATGGTTGTTGTATAGGAAATTTCTCTGCCATTTACTTTTTGCAGGATCAAAATACCAATATTTTTTGCATCCACCCCATTGTTCCCCGCCAATCGCGAGAACACAACAACAGCGGGAATACATCTTGGGATCATGCTGAAGGATTTAATGCAACCTAGTCCTTATTGCAAAGGTAAACTAAACCTCGATTTTTTTTGCCATTGCTGAAGAAAAGTACACAGGAAACAACTGCCCAGTAGGAGTAGTTTTTAGCTTCTACATCAGTTGCCTTTTCACAATAGTTTTTTGCCTAGCCTCTTCACCCAAGTTGCTTTCCATCAGCCATGAGTTGCTTTTTTCATAGTATTTTTTGCCTATTGTTACTATTTGCAAGCTGATAATGTAAGCAATGATTCTTTTTGCCTAATCTTACAACGCAAGTTGCTTCAGACAATATAATTTTTTGCCTAGCTTCATCCAATTTTCTTTCCATCAGCCATGATGTTTTGCATAATGTTAGAACGCAAGTTACTACAATGAAGTCAAGTTACTACTAAGCACATTGTTCATCCCTTTTTTATGGCACAAAAGATCCATGTATATTTTTTTGCTACTTGCCCCATGCTTACACTACTTTTGCTCAAACAAGATGTGTTTTTTTGCCAAAACTAGTAGATGATTCAACACAGGGTTAAAAACACGCGCAACAGGTCCTTACAACATGCTTCATATGCAACAGGATGGAACACACATCCAGGAAATCAAGACATATTGGATCAAGAAGATCTAATTTTCTACAGAACATGCTGGGGGATGGTGGGGCTAGGGGAAGGTGAGCAGATCTACTGCTTTACCTCTGAACTCCCCTGCTTCTGCTGCTTCTCATACTTCCTCTGCTTTTTCTAGCTGTTTTTAAATCAACAGTTTCATGGATGGTGCCATTGCAGGGCGTGAAGCTTTTGTGATCTG